CTGCCCTCGTGTTCCCTCTCTTGCCCTCCCCTGCCCTCTCTGCCATCCCTTGCTCTCCTCTGCCCTCCCTTGCATTTCCTTGCCCTCCCTTGCCCTCCCTTGCCCTACGCTGGCCTTACTTGCCCTCCCCTGCCCTCTTTGTCATCCCTTGCTCTCCCTTGCCCTGTCCTGGCATCCCTTGCTCTCTCTTGTCTTCTCCTGCTCTCCTCTGCCATCCCTTGCTCTCCTCTGCCATCCTCTGTCCTTCTTGCTCTCCCCTGCTCTCCTCTGCCATCCCTTGCTCTTCTCTGCATTCTTCTGTCCTCCTCTGTCATCCCATGCCCTCCCTTGCCCTCCCCTGCCCTCCCCTGCCCTCCTCTGCTGCCCCTTGCTCTCCACTTTCCTCCTCTGCTGTGCCTTGCTCTCTGTTTTCCTCCTCTGTCCTCCATTAATGGAGGGCAATATTGCCCTCTCTTGCTCTCTTCTGCCATCCCTTGCTTTCTCAGCCCTCCCTTACCATGTCCTGCTTATCTCTGCTGTCCCATTGCTCTCCTCTGTTCTCCTCTGCCCTCCCTTGCCTTAGCTTGATGTTTCCTGCTGTCCTCTGCCATCCCTTGCTCTGCTCTGCATCCTTCTGTCCTCCTCTGCCATCTCTTACCCTCCTTGCCCCCTCCTGACCTCCTCTGCCGGCCTTTGCTCTCCAATTCCCTGCTCTGCCGTCTCTTGCTCTCCTCTGCCCTCCCTTGACCTGTTGAAATCTGTAACGACTTCAACTCCTACTGTCCTGGCTTCTGTAAGATGAATTGAACCATACTGCTTAAAACATCAGAGCCAGTTATGCATGATACCTCGCTAATTAGGAAAGTGTTACCTTACCAGATGGGAACTGCTTTAGTGATGTTAGGGCAATAAAGGAATGGCACTGCTTACATTGCTAACGTCATCCTTGAGCCTCACACTTTGGCATACCAAACACAACATGTTTGACAAGCAGTTTCAACCCGAGTATCTCTCAGCAGCCACCAGCTGGCCCACAAGGTTGAATGATGTGCATCCTGTCTCACGTGACAGCCAATAACTAATTCTGCGCCTACCCTAAGCCATGTTCCCAAAGCTTAGGATAGAAGACAAGATGTCAATGTTAAGTCATAGATCTGGCACTTAACAAAACTAAGAAAATGGGACCAAGCCCTGTAAGCATTTTTTCACTCTGCCATCCCCACGTATACACACTACTTTTATGAATACATAGGGAGGGTACGTACCCTCCCTCCATATCCTGAGACCTTCTCCACTGCATACAACCCAACGTTCTGCATGCAAACCCCACCTCTGCGCCTGCTTTGTACAGAACCAAGCAATTGCTAGTCCCTAATGTTGTGCCCTCCCTCGCCCTCTCCTGCTCTCCTCTGTCCTCCTTTGCTGTTCCCTGCCCTCTCCTGCTCTCTTCTGCCATCCACTTCCAACCCTTGCCCTCACTGCGGTCTTCCCACAACCCTTGCCTCCTCTGCTCTCCCCCATTCTCCTCTGTCCTCCTGTGACCTTTCTGGCCCTCTCCTGCCTTCCTCTGCCGTCCCTTGCCCTCCCTTGCCCCCCCCCTGCTCTTCTCAACCGCCCTTTGCTCGCCTCTGCTGTCTATTGCCCTCCCTTACCATCTCTTGCTCCCTCCTATCATCCCCCACCTTCCTTCGGCCCCCCCTGTGCCGTAAACACAACCAAGCAACGTTGCTGGTATGTCACTGAGAAGAAACAGAAGAATGAAACCACACAGATTGCTCTGTTTGGTGACGACT